ACCTGGCACATAGCAAATGCCCAACTAGCAGAGAGCTATTATTATCAAATTCTATCGCTTCTTGGCCTTTTGGCTAAGATCAAGTGTATTATTATCACAATTCTTACAGCACCCCAACAGGAAGTGAATGCCAGGTTTAGTGTACCTTCCCTTCAATGGGCCTCAGGATCTTCATCTTCAAAATGAGGCAGAGGGTGAACTCTGACCTGAAGCACCTCAGGGCAGCTGTGAAGCAGGGACTGGAAAAGCACTGTTCCTATCACCCTGTTATACTGTCTTCATAGTAATTATATGAAATTATCCCGAAATTATCTTGTCCATATATTCATTTTCTTATTTCCTATCTGTCTCCCCACCACAAGGCAGACGCCTTTGCCTCCTGCTCCCGGGTTATAGCCATCGCTCAGCACAACACCTAGTACTTAGTAGGCGCTCAACAAATACCGCATGACGAAAGGAAGGAGTCCATTGAGCTGGCCTACTTCTTGCCCCATAATGTGATAAAAGCTTTCTGTAGTCTTATCATTGTCCCCGTTTTACAGATGAGGAAACTAAGGCCGTGAGGTTCCAGCACCTGCCCAAGGTCGCACCGCAAGGAATGGAACCCAGGTCTGAATTCAAAACCGAACGCTTGACCACCAGGCGACAGCTTCCTACAGTGGGGGTCCCCAGAGCTCCCAGCAGGATTCACTTCAACCACACACACCCCCTTACCCGGACTGGCCAACCCGGAACCGCCCGCTACCGCGGTCCCGGTCCCACACCTAGGCCGCGGCCCAGAAGCCCCCACGCTACCGAGGGGCAGCCCCCACTTCCGGCCCGAGGCTCCGCCCATGGCAGAACTCGGCGCGCGCCCCCAGCCCAGTCCGCGCGCGCCGGGTCACGGCCCCGCCCTTCCCCCACCCGACCCGATCTGCACGGCCTCGAGGAGCGGCCCAGTCATTGCCCGCAAGGCCCGCCGGTGCCTGCCCGGCCCGAAGCCCACCCGGCCACCGCCTGGCCGCAGCCCCGTGCCCGCTAGCCGACTCACCGGCTCTCGGCGGGACCGCGTCCACTGCCTGTGCCCGGCTTCGGTTCCGTCTTCGTCTCGTTCAAACCGCCCGACCCCGCCCGCCCGCCCGCGCGATGACCTCACACGCACCCCCCGCCCCGTTACGCGCAGACGTACAGGCTCGTCAGTCCCCGCCGGCTCCTTTTATAGAGAGGGATTGAGCCGCGCGCCAGGGGCGGGGCCCGGCCAGTGATAGACTGCCCGGGCGCCCAGGGGGCGGGACGCCGGCTGCCATGGCAATCAGCCACGTGGTCTGCCGAAGCCAATGAGATCCCGCCCCAGTCCGGGTTTGCCTGCCTAATAGGAAGAATCCAGTTACAAATTCCCCACCCCAGGAGCCAAAAAAAAAAAAACAAAAAAAAAACGGTATTACAATGAATTTCTACAAAAATGGGCTATTGGATAATAAAGACACTTGGTAAGAGCTTTGAGGAAAGACTTGAAAGTCACCTCAGAGACACATCCTGTGAACACTGTTATGACCCTGTGATCTCATCATCCGTTTATTTTCCTCTCAGTGCCTATGAAGTCCTCGTGTTTATTCGTTTATGCCTTTGTCTGCCTTTCCTTAAGTTCCACAAAAGCAAGGATCTTCTCAGTCTGTGTCCCACTGCCTGACTTTGCTGAAAGAATGAGTTACACCCACTTTAAAGAAGAGGAAGCTGAGGCTCAGAGATTGACTTGCCCAGCATCACAGAAGCTGACCCAGGTTTTGAGCTGGGTTTTGTCTAGGTATCATTTATTCATGCGTCCCACAAATATTTATTTTTTTCTGATCAATCAGGCCCTAGGTATTTCATAGTAAGCAAAAACCAGACATAGCCTCTGAGCTTTTAGTTGTGACTTTTTTTTTTTTTTTAAAGTAAGCTCTATGGGGGCGGCTGGGTGGCTCAGTCGGTTAAGCTTCAGACTTCGGCTCAGGTCGTGATCTCACGTTGTTAAGTTCCAGCACAGCCTGGCGCTCTTTGTTCAGAGCGTGGGGCCTGCTTGGGATTCTGTGTCTCCCCCTCTCTGTGCCCCTCCCCCTGATTGTGCTTTCTCTCTAAGATA